TAGGACACGGGTTTGAGTCACTGTTTTGTATAACTTCCAAACTAGCCAAAATGTTCTATCAGGAAGAGCTCTGCACTGAGGATGGCCTGTGTTCCCATCCTGGTTGTACCACTCATCTGTCCACTCCACCTCCTATCTGACCTTGGGCAAGTTACACAACCACTCCATGCCTCTGTTTCCTCACCCATGAGATGAAACCCACATAGGTAACTACCCCCCAAGGAGCCACTATCAGAATTAAGTAAAATAATACTTCTAGAAACCTTGATCACTATCCCTGTCCCTCAGTGAGTGCTCAAAAACATTTTTAATCATTTAAAAATTTTTAACATATTTGAAAAAATTGAAATGAGTTAAAAAAAATTTTTTTAAAGACACTTTGCATGTAGTGCTGTATTTCAAATTCCCGAGTTTAAATGCAAGTTTGGTATGGTTTATTTTGTACTCCTCTGTTTATAGGGTTTCTCTGTTTAGACAGTACATAACATGTTAACTCACTTGGCAAAGGGAAGATTAAAGCAAGCAGAACATGGCTACCCTAAAAAAGGACCATGTAATGATACAGTCTACTGAATGGAGTTGTAAGGAAACAAAAAGAGCCATGTTAGTAAGTACTATAGCAGAAACAGCAAATATATGCCTTTATCTTTGCTTTCTACTTAAAAGTTGGTGGGAGGGTGTCACATTTTTCAAGTAAACTTAAAACATGGGCTTCCTGCTTTACTGGCTAAATATTTTATTCTAATAAGAAATTAGAGTCAACGGGAAGAGGGAATCAAAACCAAAAAACACTTAATTTCTGGAAAATACAGTAGTTAGGAAGAGATGTCAAAATATCTTGAGCCTTTTGAGGGAATGTGGGGAATGCTGTCCAAACAGAAACCATGTAACAGACAACTTCTGAGAAAAGCTGCTATCATTGTTATACCACTGCTGTTAAATTCTGCCATGTGGGGCTTCTTAAGCATCTAATTTCAGACCTTTGCACAATGTATTGCCCTAATGTTGAACACTGGGACATTATCAGCCACTCTGCCAGATGACAGGATGCGCTCTACATGCCAATCTCCACGCTATTAAATAGTTAGTACCCACAGAGAGAGAATTTCTTTTCCAAAGACCTTTACATATTAACTCTTAGTCAGCATGAACCATCCTCACTTTGCAGGACGAAAACGACAGTGAGGGTAGACTAGTTTTCAGGATATCAGAAGATGAGTTTCAAATTCATTCTCAGCCCCCACAACCCACAAGTATCATTAACTTATCCAGTCCCTCCACTAACAAAAGAATACACTGATGCTGCCTTAGTGACATCAGAGTCCACAGGGTCAGTTAGACACTGTGAAACTGACCTCGTCCCCCAGATAGAGCTATCTTCTAAGATTTTCCACCCCTGCCTCAAATAATAACCAACTATGTACTTACTGCAAAGCCCTTTGCTTTTTGTGCTTCCTGGGAGCTGCTGACCTCAATCAGCAAGTCAGCCACACTATTCTGGGCCGGGTCCTGGCCTGGGAGGAAAACCACATTCAGAGAGCGCTTCAGCAAGGCTTCACTCAGGAAGCAGGCGGGCTGTGCTCCCCACGCCTTTGCCTCTCCTTTTCCCTCTCTCTAGTGCTTACATGCATGCACGCGTGCGTGCGTGCATGCGCGCGCACAGGCGCGCGCACACACACACACACACACACACAAACACACACAGAGTACAAAATCATTATTTTTGTCTAACTGGGTCCTGAATACTTAATTCATACTTCTCAAAAATCTAAGGATTTAAACAAGCAAACTGTATAGCTTCTTGTTGATTGTGCCATGAGCCATCAAATAGGAAAAAAAAAAGACCCCAAAATACTGTCAGTCGGCCCTTCAGAAGTGGGTTTACTTACCTGAGGCTTAAGAGTCCAACCTCTCACACCCCACCCCATGGCTTCACAAATGCCACAAGTTCTAGTACTCTAGGTGTGGAGGGGAAGGCAGGTTACAACCAGAAAGTGAATTAAAATAGGCTGTTCTGCAAGCTGACTGAAGGGATCCCAGAGACAAGACTTGAATCACTGAGCCTTCAGTGATGTTATGATTTCTCTTTTTTTTGTCCTAAATAAGTATATTCATACTTAATTTTGAATCCAGAGAGTTCCCACATGGTATGGGCATCCTCAGAAAACCTAGGGTCCACAACCCCTGGTACTATAGATGGCCTACGGTAAAACCTAATGACTACAGAATTACTACAACTGGAATTTTAAATTCACATTAATATCTTCTGAATTTTCTAAATTCTATTACACTGTGTAATAAAATAATACAATTATATACAAATAATTTTAATGAAAAAATACATTCTTTACAAGTATGTTGCAATTCTAACAAAAACCTTAATAGAATTAGAAGCATGAACAAATTCCTTGTAAAATTATCCTGAAATTTATCTGGTAGAATCATTGATTCTGCTCTACAGAAGATTTACAATAACTGATTCTTCTCCATAGAAGAAAACATCTGAAAACACTGAAAGAGAATTTGACTGCCATATATTAAAATAGAATAGAAAAGTATAATAATTATAACAGCATGGTTTAGGAAGAGGATGATCAATGGATCACAACAAAGCCATAGAAGAATTTAGATTATAATAATGATGATATTACTAATTTGGAGGATAAAGAATGGATTGTTTCAATTTTAAATATTGCACTCAGAAAATTGACTAAGCACTTGTCCAAAAATAGGCTCCCACTCATACTATTTACACAAATGAATTCTGAAGGAATACAGATGTAAGTGAAGAAAACAAGAAGTATATAAGGACAGAAGAAAATACAGAAGATAATATATTTGATTGAGGTAGGAAAGGCCTCATTGAGCCCACATACAAAGCCAGAATACCTA